AACCCTGGGAAGGAGCTGGCGGGCACAGCCCCGCAGACACCAGGCCGGGCTCGGCGACGGCGCTGGCAGCCGCGGCCTCCCGCAGCGCCCGCGCCCGAAGGGGCGGCTCAGGGGAGGCCGGGCCGGGCGCGCGGGCGGAGCGAGCGGAGGGGGCGGGCAGCCGCAGCCGCGCCGGGCAGGCGAAGCGCGGTGCGTGTGCGCGGCCCGGCCCCGGCTCATTATTCAGCGGCCGAGGCAGGAGGCGGCGGCGGGCGGTGAGCGCGGCGCCTGGGGCTGTGGAGGGGTGGAGGCGGAGGCGCTTGGGAAGCGGGGCCGGAGCCGGGCGGGTGCGCGGGGAGCGGCGGCGCCGCGGGGTCCGGGCCCGGCCGCTTTGTTTACGTTCCAGCGCGGGGGCGTTGGGCTGGCAGCGAGCGTGGCCGGGCCGGGCCCTTTGCTTCCTGCGGGGCTCTCCGCGCTCGTGACCTTCTCTGCTTGCCGGGCTTCGCCGCGGCCCGGCGGTGCAGGGAAGGCTGGAGGTTCCTGGGTGGATAATGGCGGGGGCCTCTTTGTTGGTGTGACAGGAGGGGCAGCGGGCTCGGCGCCGGGCTCCTCCTCTTCCCCGGGCGGGGGGCAGCGGCCGTGGGCAGCTCTGGCACCACGGCCCTCGGCGCAAGGAGGTGCAAACGCTGCCGTGCACAGCCACCTCTGTGCTGAACTTCCATGACCTTGCCTTTAAAACGCCTCCTGAAGCAAAAAACGCTTCCCATAACTGCTCTGATTATAGAGCTTGGGGGGGAGGTGGGCAATGCCTTTGATTCTTTTGCCTTTTAGTTCTCATATTCCTTGTAAAAGGAATGAGCTGTCTCTTCGCAAATTTTCTTTGCACTTTGTTTCTTCCGTGTCATTAACAGCATCCAGTTTGGCTCCTGAAGCCTGATTTCTTATTTCAATGCGGAGCTTTCACAGTGAATCCTGGCCAGGCACTGCTGATAACTCACAGATACAAGTCCCATTCAATTGTTTTGTTCCCCTAGCTATACATATAGCATGGCTTTGAATTTCTGTATCAGGTGGAGCAGGCTTGCTGAAGTCTTTCAGCCAGTCCAAAACCCTGTGTGCTTTGGCCTATCTGATAATACAGAAGGTGCTGTACTGGTTTGTGGAAGGTATTGCTTGCCTCCTGGGCATGTGCTTGTAGCATTTAGCAAGCTTACATTACAGCTGGCTTCTGTGTACAGGTGTGGAGACTTGGCTATAATGGCACACAGCTGAAGTGCTGAGACACAGCCTTGCTTCTGGAGGTGCCAACAGAAGTGCTTCTAGGGCAGAAGCACGTGTAGAAGTGTTAATGTATCTCTCTGTATCTGTATCTGCAGATATATTGGATAGATAACTTTGAACTAGTTTGAAGTGTTATTTCTTGAAGAGAAACTGGGCCCATTCTGGTTAAGGATAGTATCCCGGTGACCTCGCTGATGAATCTGAGTATCCCTTGTGTATATCGCAGGGAAACTCTTCCTTCAATATTAGCAAAGAAGAATGCGTTGAATTTTGCGTAGTCTTGTTCTGTGATCTCAACGTGTGGGCAGCCATCTTGTCATTCCCCACTTGATTCAAAGGTGTGTAGCATAGGCTGGTTAGATAGGAGCAGTGAGCATCCCACATCAATTTCCTGTCTTTCCTGTGGCTTTTGGTCTATGGTCTCAGTTTCCTCCCTTAAGAGTCTGAATGCCAAGGAACTCTGATGGGAATGCCTGGTTCTGGTAGGGAGCGCTGCAACAGACGTGATGCCCATACAGGCACTTGGCACATTCCAGACTGTCAGATCATGGCAGTTTCCAGGGCTGACTGGGTGGAAGTGTGATGGGAAGGAAGAATCAAACATCTATTGACCAAAACTAATCCAGAGTTGGAGGGGATGCTGTGTGAAATTGTTGCCTTAACTTTGGAAGGGAATGTTAATAGTGTCCTCGGGTCTAACAAGTTTTTTTTGACCAGGGATGCTACTGATTCACAAGATTCAAAGTAGTCTTGTGAAGTGCCATTACTTCATGGAGACTTCAGCAACAGTTTAAAAAAAAAAAAAAAATCCTCTACTGTGGTATTGAATTCCGTAGTTTGGGACTACTTGTTCTAGGTAGAGTACAGCTGCCCTTTTGAATGTGTGGCTTTTGTGTTTTAACTTTCAACTTTCAGTAAAAGTTCAGCGAAATTTCATTAGGGAGCTGGGCTTTGGCTGGCTTTGTAGGAGAGCAGATGTAACAACCTTCCAAATTCTTCACGTAAACTTGTTACATTGTCTAATTCTTGCCTAAATGTCTCTATATTTAGGTAACCAAGCGCTTGTGTATTTCAATGACGACTCATTTTCTGCCTGCAGCATACCAGAAATGATTCCTTGTGGTTTATTCCAGCTACTTGGTTATCTGTTACCTTTGTATTCCCTTTGTTGTTTTTGTTTGTACTTTCTTCCTTAACTGCCGAATTATTTGTATGGATATTCTTTAAAAGATGCACAGAAAGTGCATGCATACAGACCTCTTCCTTTTTGAAGTTTTGTGTCCTTGACAAGTGCAAGTAACCTTGATGGTCTGATGAAGAGCATGGTATGCCATGTCTTAAACTTCATTCTTTTCCTCCCCTTCACCCATGGGGAAAAAGTGCTGTGCTTACAGTGTTTTTTATTAATGTTATTTTGTATGCATGTAATGTTTGTTGCTGTATTTTTTTTTTTCCTATCGATCTGCTTTTCATCATAGGTTTTTAATAAAGACTGAATATTTTCTTGCTGTAAATGTATTCTTAAAAAACAAACAAACAAACAAAAAAACCTGAGTTGTTCTTCCTTCATTTAGAAATCTGTTTATATTGTGGGAAGATCTCTAGGTCCTTGAAAGCTCTTTAAAAATCCAATTGAAGCCACTTGTGCTGTTTTCCTGCTGTGAAGTTCACCAGAGCACACTCATGGATTCTGGAAAATAATCTTTATATTGCTGAATTAAGCATCCAAATAAGTAATTTTCAAATCTTTTTCAATAAGTACCTTGCTTAGATTGAGGTGGAAATTTTACTTTTAAACTTGATAAAGGCTTTCACAGAATCACAGAATTGTAGGGGTTGGAAAGGACCTCTAGAGATCGAGTCCAACCCCCCTGCCAAAGCAGGCTCCCTACAGCAGGTCGCACAGGTAGGCATCCAGGCAGGTCTTGAATATCTCCAGAGGAGACTCCACAACCCCCCTGGGCAGCCTGTTCCAGTGCTCCATCACCCTCACCATAAAGAAGTTCTTGTGCACATTCATGAGGAACTTCCTCTGCTGCAGCTTATGTCCGTTTCCCCTTGTCCTGTCTCCACGTACCACTGAAAAGAGACTGGCCTCACCACTGTGCCCCCACACCTCAGATATTTATAAACCTAGATTAGATTCCCCTCTCAGTCATCTTTTCTCAAGGCTGAACAGACCCAGTTCACTCAGCCTTTCCTCATAGGGGAGATGCTCCAGGCCCTTCACCATCTTTGTGGCCCTCCGCTGGACTCTTTCCAAGAGATCCCTGTCTTTTTTGTACTGGGGAGCCCAGAACTGGACACAGATGAGGCCTTACCAGGGCAGAGTAGAGGGGGAGGATCACCTCCCTCGACCTGCTGGACACGCTCTTTTTAATGCACCCCAGTAAGCCATTGGCCTTTTTGGCCACGAGGGCACACTGCTGGCTCATGGCCAACCTGTGGTCCACCAGGACACCCAGGTCCCTCTCTGCAGAGCTCCTCTCCAGCAGCTCATCCCCCATTCTGGCTCTCCTTGTGGAAAGATCATTTTTTACATCTTTTCTGTTGAAGGGGACATTGTTCCATATATATGATCTATTTGTATGAAAATACACAAATAGTCATTTGAACTTGTGGATATTATTTTTAACTGTGACTGCAGTATCAGTGAACTGGTTGATAAAATCTCTGTTTTCAAAGCAATTACAACTGTTTCTATTTCTGTAGCGTCACACCGTAGTTTCAGTGGCTATCTTGCTTGAGCAATCTTTTTCCCCACCAATCCTCCTCTCTGGCTGCTGTGGGGCAAAATAGATCAAGGAGCTAAGTGATGCAGCTGGAAAAAAAAATTCTTCCATGTGGACTATTTTTCAGCCTGATTAATTCCCTTGTGTCTAAGCAAGTATGCTGTTAGGAGGTAGGAAGACAAGGAGGCTGCTGAAGTGGCTGTTGCTATCAGTTATGTACTTGCACAGAGATTCACAGATTAGAAGAGTAATGCAGTGCAAGTGGATAGATTTCTCGTGTTCAAAGACGCTTGCTTAAAAACATCCATGTGCAAATGGAGTCTTCTGCTGATGTTACCTGAAAGCATCCTGAAAAAGCTATTTATTGTGATTGAATGCACTGTGGAGACCAATAACAGTTGGGCACGAGCACCTGTTAGAATCACAGAATTATTTGAGTTGGAAGAGACCCTTAAAAGCCCTCTTGTCCAACTTGCCTGCAATGAATGGAGCCACATACAGCTCCATCAGGTGCTCAGACCATCAAGCCTGACCTTGGATGTCAGAGATGGGGCATCCACTGCCTCACTGGGCAACCTGTGCCAGTGCCTTACTATCCTTATTGTAAAAAGGTTCTTCCTTATGTCCAATCTGTATCTCCTCTCTTTTAGTTTGAAACGATTTCCCTTTGTCCTATCACAAGAGACCCTGCTAAAAAGTCTGTCCCTCCTTTCTTGTATGTATATTTATACATACAGGGGCAGGATCACCTCCCTTGCCCTGCTGGCAGTGCTTCTTTAGGTGCAGTCCAGGATACAGTTGGCTGTGTGGGCTGTAAGGGCACATTGCTGGCTCACATCCCCAGGTCTTTTTCTGCAGGGCTGTGTTCCATTCTTACATCCCCCAGCTGGTACTGATAGCAGGGGTTGCCGTGACCCAGGTGCAGACCTTGCTCTTAGATTTATTGAACCTCATGAGGTTCAGCTGGGCCTGCTGCTCAAATTTGTCATTGTCTCTGTTAGGCAGCCAGCACTGACCTAGAAGTTTTCAGCCATTAACTTACTGTGAATGGACATTCTCTTCCATGTCAATGTATATTAATTGTTTCAAAGCAGGTGAGTATCAATAAGGGGGTCCTTATGGAAAACAAGGAGCATGTAAATTTTTGGATGAAGGCATGGTGTTGTAGGACTGATAACTGCTTGTGTTTCTACTTTCTTTAAATACTGTTTGTGAAGAAATGCTTTCCTGATGAGGCAGTGCTTTACTTAAGACTAGAAAGTGGATGTCAGGAACATGAAGTTAAAATGGTTAATGTTTTCTTTTTATTGTAAGATATATTTTATGTATAGGAATACAAATGCCTGCTAGCGTTTTGTGGTACTTCAGAAATACTTAGCATTTATCCTTTTAGATTTTTCTGCTTGGTAGAGGCTGCTGTTCGTTTAGCGTTTAGAACTTCCCTTGTAGCTTTTTCCAGCCCATTATAACGCAGTAATAGATGAAGCCTTCAGGAAAAATTGTGTGTGGAATACCCTTCTCATTTTCTGTCCCAGCTCTTTCTCAAAATGTGGAACTCCAGGTGTATTTCATTGAGAAGTTCTGTTTGTATATGCCAAATATTGAGTGGAATTTTAGTGCTATGTATCTTTAAGAAAAATATCTTGTGGCAAAACTGCAGCATTGCTCAGCTGTGACTGGTATCATTTTAAGAAATGTGTGGTCTTAGAATTTGAAAGTGGTGCCAAGAAGCTCAGAGCCAAGTGGTGGTGGGCAGAGCGCATTGCCAGTACGTTGACTTAAAAAATTGTGGGAAATAACACAGTAATAATTCTAGCTTTGTATGATACATACTTCAATTAAATGAATTTGAATTTGATGTGTTAAATCAAAATGGATGAGAATTGCAATACATTTTAAAAATAGAACTTAAATTTTCCTTACTTGATATAAAAATTAGTGTGAGAGCTCAGTGAATGCGCCCGTTTTGATAGCAAATCTCCTTTTGTGTGCTAGAAGACTTTTGCAGCCTGCATAGCATAAGGAATACTCCAGTTCACTGCCTGTTTCCAGAAGAGCCAGCAGTGTGCAGTGCTTTGCTTCTGCCACAGGTTTTTGTGCAGAGACTTTGGGTGCGAACTCCTCCAAGAGGCTCAGATGACAGCATCAGACTGGTCTGGTTCTGTGTCTGCACAGATAGTCTTCACAAAGAGAACTGCCCAAGCACCTCTGTTCACAATACTGTTACTTGGGCTGTTGTTTATTTTGTGAAGTGTCTTGTCAAGCTTTCTCTAGTGCCTGCATTTTTCTTAAATTCTTGTGTGAAGAGATGATAATCTTGTTGTGCTAAGCTTATAATTAGTAATGCTTTTCTTCTCAACTTTGAGCACTTTTTTTTCCTAAGCAGTTAATAGCTAGTCCTTGTTTCTTTTCCTGTCCAAATGGTTTGCCTGTAAGCATGTTACTGAAATAAACCTCATAGTTGTCCATATTGTCACTTTTATTGTTGGATAAATGCTGCTTGATATGTGAACAGATGGGATGCTTATTAATCTTTCTCAGTTGGAAACTGTAGACTATTGCTAGATGGTGACCAGCAAGAAGCACACTTTGGTCATCTGTGTTGCAAACAAAGCAAATACTGTATATGCGTGTGCTCATGTGCATGCACTTCAAATGGACAACAAAGGGAAACATTAATTGTATAGTAGTGCTGGAAAGCCCTTTTCCTGTAATTATGAATTTTGAGTATTTATTAAAAAAACAAAACAAAACAAAAAAAAACGCAACATACAAATCTGTCAATCTCGGATGACTTCATGTACCAAGGTATTTTTAATTAAAAAGCCTAAAAGTATGTGGGCAAATATCTTGGTATTTCCTCTTAACTATGAACTGTGGCTAAAATGCGTGCTCCAGTCATTGTAGTCTGTGTCCATTCATTCTTAAACACTTGTATCTCAGTTTTCTAAACAAAGGCTCAACAGTCTCTTATCTAGAGTTTTGTCTGTAGTGAAATGAGGAAAATGATCACCAGGTATCACATTTCTGGCTGTGTTCTCAGCCAGGAAAGTGCCCAGCTATGTGGATGTATGCGGTCATATGGACTTAGGTGCATAAATTGATCCTTCTGCTGGCTGGGGCCTGATGATGGGGAGCAGCTCTTGCAGCCGGGGGCTCCTAGGGAAGGAGAAGCTGAGCAGAAGGCAGTTAGATATGAGGAAGAGCCTGGCTAGTAGCTATAAAGAGCTATGTGGGGCAGTTGCCCAGATCCTGCTACAGTATTACTCCATAGTTCACATGTGTTCTGAGTTCACACTCGGAGACAAATGAGGGAGAGGCTGTAACCGGGCTGCTCAGGTGCTGGGGGTGGAGGAGGGATGGGGGCAGCTGGAGCAGTGGAAGGCACAGGTGGGAATGTAATTACTGCCATTAAGAAGGATCATAAAGATGATGGAGCCAGGCTCAAAGGTGCGCAGTGAAAAGAACAAGGTTCATAAGCTGTAAGAATAGAAATTTCAATTGACTGTGAAAGGAATATCTTCCCATGATTAAGTATGGAGTACTGCCAGGGTCCCAGGGCGTTTTAGAGTCTCCATCTGTAGAAACTTTCAGCAATGCCCTGAACAATCCTATACAAATACAGGTTTGAAGGTGTGCCTGTCAGGAGCAGGTAGATGATCCCCAGGCATTGCTGTGATTCTAAATCCCAAATTTAGTGTTTCACATTTGATCACAAATGTGATCCCAAGCTGTGCTGTGATTCTACTGTTTGTGGGTTTATTTTATTTTTGAGGTAGCTTAAGGTAGTTGGTGAAACAAAGGTACAGATGACATAGATAAAGAAAAGACTGGTAGACTGTGAAGGAAGAAACAGTGAGATGTGATAAGTATCTTCTTTCAAGTCTGCTAGTGGCAACACTGGCATTTCTCTGCCCTACAGAGAGCTTTCCAGCTGATTAGGCCAAAAGTGCTTGCAGGCAAATGTAAAGAACAAAACAAAGGTTATGGTGCCTATCATGCCTGTGCTCACCGTGGTGAACATGAAATCCCATCTTTGACAGAACAGCCTGAAGTACCCGGCAATGCAGCCAGATGAAGTTTGTCCAGGCTTGCCTTCTGCAGAGGAGGAGCACGTTGGCAGTTACTGCTGTACAACTGTGATCCTCTGCTGGGTGGGCAATGGTTCCTCCAGGAGATGGTGGCACAGAGCAAAACAGGTGTGATTCCCAGCTGGCGGCAACTGCAGTTCAAGTTGCAAAGAAGTGGTAGGGCTAATGCCTGCTGGAGGAAAGAAGAGAAGAGCCTCATCAGATTCAGAAATCCTTTTCTCTCTTGGCCTTATGGTTGTGCTGCTTTCAGGAGACAACATATTGCTGTTTGTTTTTCTTTTAGTTACTGGTCACTAAATGTACAAACACATTAGAATTATGTTAATGTCAAACATAAATGAAGGGGAGGTGAACAGAATAGGGAGTTACAGCCCAGAATGTTTTGCCTCTTAGTGAAGCATCTGTCCTGGGGTTGGACCTGTAGATACTTGAACACATGCACACAGCTGTTCGTGTGTGGCTCTAAGATGATTCTGTGGGAAATCTGATGTCAGAGATAGTGTATCTCTGCAGGTCCTAAATGTATTCTTTAAAGTTTTAGAGCCTAAGTTTATGGCAGAATGAAACTGACAGTAGTTAGTGATGCTTCCTGGATAAAAATACAAAAATTGCTTCTAGCATTTAGTCTCAAGTTTTATTATGGAAACAGCAAAAAGTGAATGTGGCAGTTGTGCTGGTCAGCATGGATCAGTTGGTGATTGTTCATCGTGCCTGTGTTTAGGATGGAGAGAAACACAATTTCCTGGGCAGTTTGTAGAAGGAGGGGTAGTAACACGATATCCTAAAAAGCTTTACATTGTTAGTGGTGTGAAGGCTAAGTCCACTTTTTTCATTTTATGCCAAAAGTGAATATTCAGGAGATGCACGGTAACAGAAAGATCATTGTGTGTGAGAGTGGTTCACTGAACAAGCAGTCAAGCTTTCCAGCAGAGTGACTTTCTTTGCATGGCTTCCTGCAATGCAAAGCTCCTCCTTTGAACAGCAGCCAGTGTTTCTTCCGCTGTTTATTAAATTGAAACATGACAGGATTCTTGTGCCACTTGTATGTCAAGATGTGGAACAGAAAAAAAGTTCCATTTCTAATAAGCTTATTTTGGCCATAATAGGATCTCATTAATGACAACTTGGAGTTGAGGGGAAATCAAAAAATCTCGGTATAACTAGAGCTACTTTATTCCTCTCCTCTTACACTTGAGGTTGATTCCACAGAAATTTCCTCATCACAGCTCTTAGTGTGTCACTAGCATACAATGCATAGCAGTGCTTCTGAGGGTTTTGTTCTTGAATAAAGAATGGGAATTCTTGAGCTTCCTAGCTTAGGAACTTCTTAGCAATGTTTTTGGTACAGGCACTACTGAAGTCCAAGAGAAAGAAGAGAAGTAGGATACCAGAGCACACTCTACTGCTGCTTGTAGTGAATCCAGTATGTCAGTGTTGTTTCCTACAGATGACCTCAAGTGCAAAGCCTTTATTTTGAAATGTAGTTTAAAACCTCAGTTCCCGTCACCAATAAGTGATTGTGTGCAATGTGTGGCATTAAAGGCGAGATCTGTGAAGGAATTGTAAGTGCTGTGGCTGTGGGATGTTTTGGAGTTGCTTTGTTCCATCCTAACGCTCTTATTGCTGAGGTATTTAATGCCAAATACTTGTGATGGGATTTCATAGCACTTTAATCTGCTTGTATTTAACAGATAAATGAATGAATTAGTGAAAGTAGCACATTTGTAATTGGATTCTAAGTTTTTGTCACTGGGATTTAAAGTTAAAACCTTTTACAGTTACTATTTTTGGTCAAATTTTTGATATGATTCTTTAATGCACTTTTAAAACATATTGAAAACTTTTTCCCCCAGCTGTGTTGTGGCTCTCTGCTTTCTGATGTTCTGTAGCAGTTGTCTTCTTCACTTTCGGTATTTAGTGTCACTTAGGTATTTTAGGTCACTTGGTATCTTTTCTTTGCTTGTGTCCTTTAAAAGAGTCAGAGAATCTTTCAGTTGCTGCTT